TCTAATGCGCTTCAAGACTTTTTGAAAATTCAATTTTCCAACTCGAAAGCACTGCGAGATTTTTCCCCTCGAGCACCGCGAATGTCAAGATTACAGCAATCGAGGTTTACCGATCGATCGATTGATCAATGGCTAAACCGAGGTTTTGATATACGCTTTTCATTCTTTGTGTGTATACTACTGTACTCCCGCGTAACTCTCCGGCGTTTATAATTTTCTACGAAATACAGAGAAATGAAGATAGAAAGAAAAGAACGAGACAACTTTTGAGGACACGTATAGAAAACAATGGAGATTTTATAAGAATATAAACGTGTAATGAGAAAGAGAGAGAAAAAGACAGCTCTGCAGGATTGGATAAAAAAGCGACATAAAAATGTAGAATTTATACGAATATGTGATGAATGACACGATAATTTATCAATTTTAAACCGGCAATGGTATCAATGGATTAATTTTTTTCTTCGCATCTTTTGCTCTGCAAAATCATAATATATATAATTTAATTTTCTTATCTATACTTAATTTTTCACAATATATTTTATAAACCATAATTAAATTTTGTGAATCATAATTAAGCAATTAAGTTCACAAAAAAAAAAAAAAAAATAAAAAAAATAACCCTTCAAAAAACAAATTCGCACCGCACTGCGCATAGTTTGAGAGAAAAAGAAAGAGAAAGAGAGTGAGAGAGAATTCGTTTTTATAACGTGAGCAATATATCGAATAACGAAGAATAATCATTGAGGGAAACAACGGCCGTCATCTCGCTGCTACGTCTCGTCCGAAAAGAATCCGATTGTTGGGCCTTCCGACTGCAAGTGCTCACACTTAACGCATAAAGTCATTCACGTTTGTATAAACCGTTTACGAAGGACGACATCCTGTTCATCGTCGGTTCACAGTACAGGCGATAATCGTTCGAGTTTTATGCAACATGAGAATTTTGCAATTATTTTGCATTTTCAATTGCTTATACAGAACGTCTCTTTAATATCAAATTAATTCATAAAGTAATAATTTTATCAGTCAAAAATGTTTGTCGAATGTTATTTATAGCAGCAAAAGATGAGATACAATTTTTCATGATTCACATAAAGTTGCTCCCAAATTCGTCCATCGATTTTGACCAATTTGGGACATCGGTATCTATTCTCTCACCTATCTACCTTTCTCGGGATCGTTCAATCATACGTATCGATTCGATTGCCTGATTCGTACATTCTTGTTATTTCAGTGAACTTTATTCGCGCGGGGAGGATCAAAGTTGAGTTCCGCGCGATGTCGATTTCTGACATCTCTCAAAATAACGACCTAATTAATTAAGCCGCGATCGTCTGTCGCAATTATCTGTCGCTTCGAATTTCGACACCAAACACACAGCCATTTATAGAAAGTAATTACAATTATTTTTTAATTATATAATTGCATTCGAAGATCGCGCGGAACTCTGATCAATTCCGTTCAAGAAATCGTCGGCCTAAAAAAAGGGGAACATTTAGTAAATGTTCGCAGAAATTTTTTAAACAGGAAAATTATTTATGTTTTCCAGACGATTTTTTCCTACATTTTTCACAAAATAACTTTTTTTTTTTTCTTTGATCGACTCATTCCACGCATCTACCAATTGTCATCACTGTCAATCGCTGGCGGTTTGAAAGACTGATAGCATTAAAAGAAAAGAAAAAAGAAAAAAAAAAAGAAGAAATTCTGTGCGATCATTATCATTTTTCCTTGTAGCCTGGATCGGAATTAAAGATTAGAGGAATCGCGATCGTCGTAATTTCGAGGAGTTGACTCAATTTCCAATGTTATAAATAACAAATAGATTTACCATCGTTTCGAATAAGCGCAGAGATCGTTTTCTATTACGAGAAAATCTGATCTTGCCAAGATTTCGATCACTATTTTAGACATTAAACATGGACAGACAGGACGAAGGACCGAATATATATCTCGCCTCGTATCTTATAAGCGATACGTAAAAAGGCTACCGGCCTCGATCAAATGCATCATCGATTTAAGAAAGAAAAAAAATTGCGACATGAGAAGAATGATTTTTAAATAACTCGATATACACGATCCGATCCGGGGTCATTTAAGCTCAAAGAGAAAGCGAGAAGGAATAAAAAGAAGGAAGGAGGAAAGGGGCGAAGATAAAAAAAAAAAAAAATCGTACTGACACACACATACCATTACACACATGTAACACGCGCATTAACGAATAGAAGAAATGATAGTCTATTGTGCTGCATACGTATTTAAATTAACGGAGCATTAAATAAGCATGGGTGTGCATCTTAGATGTATTAGAAAACCTTCACCCTCCCCCTTCCCATCACGCGTTTAGTATTAATTATTAAAATAGGCGATGATACGCAGGGGTGCGGAGGGAGAGGATTAATTGTATACGAATTCGAAAGACGTAGGATACACACGATAATCAGGATCATCCATCTTCCATAGTCATAGATTGTACGTTATATTTATATTATGGTCGTCCAAGAATATCTCGCAATATCTTCTTGTGACGCAAATTATCATTATAATTATGTTATAAAAGTAGTATGAAAAATACGAAGAATCCAAGAATTAGAATGCTCGAAATTCATGAATTTCTAAGATCGAAAATATCTTAAATTCGAAGATACATGGATTAAAATTTATAAATCCAAAGATCTATCCAAAATCTTGTAGCATATTTATAAATCCTAGTATATCTAAATTCAATCCCAATCTTTAAATCGACATTTTATTAGATACGAGAACTTAATTTACAAAATTATGTGCAAATTTAAGAATTTTAAAATTTAAAAATTTAAAGAATTTAAAAATTCCAAGATTTACATATTTTTAATAAAAAAATAATGGAATATTTTTTTTTTTTTTAATGTACTGGATTCAACGATGATTTCGAGCATTTTAATTGACATAAATGTACAGTTATGTGTTTTATAGTAAAGCCCCTGTATAGTAGATATCGTAAAGAATCGTTATATTATATTATAGGATATTGTGTCCTGATTGTCGATGTGTCTTAATTAAACGTCAGGATCAACCTCAACTGTGTCATCGATCGATCTATCATTATTATTATCAACACAGTTTTATTCTTCTGATAACGGAAGCGAAAAAATCGCAAAGGATTGAAGAAAAAAAGAAAGTGAAAACAAACCTCTCCCTCGTCTCATCCCCCGGAAAATCTCGCCGGAGATAAAAATTATCGCTATAATTTTATTCATGTGTTTCACATGCGACTCGATTGAGTATGCAATACTCAAGCGGATTGTAATATGTATAATTTTTAAGAGACGATTGTGTGTGAAAAGAAAAGGCAGCATATATTGTCATTCTTTTATCGTTGTATTATTTATACCTCTCGAAAGAGTTTCACGTATATACAATAATAATTATAATTAAAATCGACTAGTGTATTTTAAATCCGACTGACAACAATTAAAAAATTAAATTGCGCTGACACGTGTGTGTTAGTCTTTTTATGCTCCAATCTTTCTTGTCTCCTATCCTTGTACAACATTTATTATTAAGCAAAAAAAAAAAGGAATCACATTTATAAAGATTTAATCGTAATCTTTAAATATTAAATATTTTTTATATATTTTTAAAATATGCATTTCTAGTATTTTAAAAGAAAGCTAGTTTTATATAATATTTTTTTTTTAGTCAACGGCTACAACGAATATAAATGTATAGAAAAAGTTTCTAGCTTTTAAACTAAATAGAGCGAAAAATAGCTAAAAATTTCGCCAAAGAATTGTGTGCTTAAATAATTGAACCTCGTTGGGGAAATATGTATTTTCGTCAGAAACCAGAGAGACGAGTGCAGTCTAAGAGATTAAATGTTCGCAGAGAGGGCACGTAATCGCATTTTTGACTTTCGTCCCTTCGATTACGATTTTATTGCGTGTCCAAGCGAGTGCCCTCGTCGCCGAGATAACGAAATTCGCGAGCGAATCGCTCACTTTTTGCACGAGAGAAAAAAAAAGAAGGAGACGTAAGGGCAGAGGATGCGCGGTTTTTTATTCAGTTGTATTCCATAAAAGGCGAACTCGGCGTACACGGAACGAGACTAGTTCGGCGCGGGGCTAATTGTTAATTAAGACGCGAATTGCCGTGCGGATTGACAATTTGCAATTGTAAAATCCGTTCCTCACGTGTAATCGCATCTCGCTCGTATCGCCCGATCGGGCGAGTCTCACTCGCTTGTTTCCAATCGTATAGAAATTGTTTCGCATGTCCCCCGTCTCCACGTGTGCGGAAAAACGAATTTCGAAGAAAAGTTTCATCGAAAGTACGGCCAGACCGATAGATAGATCCTACGAAATGTTTCTACAGTTAAAACTTTCGAGACGCCTACGTGACACTTTAATACAGACTGAAAGAACGGGCGATAAAATTTATCCATTATCGAATTAAAAATAATAATAAAAATTATTATACAGGGTGTCCTTAATTTAAATGTCAAAACTTTAGGAGCGTGTAGGGGACCGATAAACTAAGACAAAAAGTCCGAATATGGAATTAAGAAAAGAGAGTAAGTTAAAATCCTCCTGAGATAAAATTAGATTAGAAACAAAATTTCTCCAAGTAAGAGAAGTTTCTATGTCGTTCGGCGAGTTGCGAAGTATAAGCAATAATGTGAAATAGGTCGATCGTATTTTAAGTCGGCGAAGTCTATACACTTCGATGAACAGGACCAGCTGCACCCCGAGATAAGAGGCGTCTCGCCCACGTCATATTCCCCATGAAACGTGTCACATTTATATCCCATAATTCCGTTAGACTTAATATTTTTTTTCTTTCTTCCTTTACCTTCCAGATAAATTTTGACCCCCTCCCCCCCCCCCCCCCCCCTCGATCTTTTCTCTCTTTTTCTTATCAATTCAACTTATTATTTCTAGCTCTTTTTTAAATTCCTTTGCATTAAATCTTATTTCTGTGTTTAAATAAAATTATTATAAAGACAAATTTATTTTTCGGATTTTTTAAATATCTTTCTTTATCAAGAAATTATCCCTTCCAAAGGTTCCAAAAATTCCAGAATTTCTTGCGTAGGTAGAATTGAATGAGAGAGAGAGAAGCGGGTTAAACATTGGCGAAATAACTGCTTCCTCTATCACTTTAAACAGATTCGATCGAAACCAATCGGTGGTTCGTATCGCGGGCACCGGTTCTCGTTTCACACCCGCGTGAACAAATCACTCACTGCTGTTCCACCCCCATACGAAGCGAATACGAGAGGGGATTCTTGGCTCACTGGAGCAGCAGGTAAGGATCCTGTTCGCAGTTTTACGCCGGCCATCAAGAGTATCAGTACTTCCGGAATATAAAATAATCGTAATTGTTGCAATTGCAAAAAAAAAAAAAAAAATTATTTTGCTACAAGTATCGTATAACATCGTTTAAGCGCGAGTTTGTGTGTTTCAATTTTATTCGAAGCAACAAGGTATATATTGTATATATTCTCTTTGTTAAAGATTAAAACTAATTAAGTCAGCGTATTCTAAATAATTAATTATATGTAAATTAATCACAGATCTTTATTATAAATTTTATTATATATTAATTACACAAAATTATTAAAATTATTGTTAAATTAATTAAAATTCAAGGAATAATTTGCGATTCACGATTCGCATGATTAATTTTTGAAATTTTTATCAGAGTTACATATATTGAATCTTCGTTATGGCAAATGATAATGAGACCATCGCGGACTCCCAGAAAAAATCCGTAGACCTCGCGAGGAAGGAATTGCGCGCGATATTGGGAAAAATGAGCGAGCTAAGGCTTTCCATTAAAGCATGGAGATTGCTTCGAGCCCGTTCGCGATTAAAACCAACGAAACCAATGAAATTTCGCGCGAGACACCTGTGGATTTTGCTGATCACATGGATAACGGTGCAAGTCGTTCGAAATCGCATTCAGACATATCGATATAATAAGGTGAGATAAATTTCACGTTGTCTGATATTTCACATTTTTACACTTTCATACATACACGTATTTTTCATAATGCAAATTGTAGATTAATTTTTCTATTTGTGTGTGATATTGTAAGGTATATTATACAATTTACGAATTACAAGAGCATCATTTTTTACTTATAATATAAATAAATTGATAATCACATTTATAATAAAATTACATTTGCTCAAAATTACGGCTAAGAATTAAAGTTTGAAATTAAATGAAAAGTTCTATTAAGAATTATTTGCGTTATAGTGGTTAAGTCGTTGTTTTAGTGCTTGATAACAGTGCCCTGGTTTACGCAAAAAGTTTTCCGACCACCAGAAGATTGTTCGATCTGCCAGGACATTCAACAGGTTGACAAGCTCTCGGCCGTTGATCCAACGATCTTCGAGCAACGGTATTATTACACAGCCAGTAATTCATATGCAATTTTCTCTCATTTTAAAAAAATTTTGTCTCAGTAATAATTTGTAAAAGAATCCATTTACTTTTAATTAATTAATTTACTTACAATGTGCTAAAATTTTTTTAAAGATAATATTTTAGTTATTATTTATAAAAGCCTATCTATTTTTAACGTATTAATTTATTTTAAAAAATTTTCGATTATATTAAAAATTAATCGACTTTGCTTTTAAATTATTTAAAAAAATTCATCTATGTAATAATTATTTTACTTATTTAACGTCGCTAATATTTTCTAAAAATTGATTTATGTGCAATTATTACTTTTTTTGTGAAGAATTATTTTACCTATACATACGCCCGCTCGCGCATGTGTGTATGTATTAATGATTATTATTTTCGCGCGACTAATATTTTTCTACGATTGCACTTTATTTGTGATTAGCTATGCGTATTCAGGAAAACCAGTGGTGATAAGCGACGCCATGGCCAACTGGACGGCGTCCAAAGTCTTTTCTTTCTCATTTTTTAAAACACTATATTACGAAAAGGAAGCAAATTGCCAATTTTTCCCGTACAAGACGGAATTTCAGAGTCTGCAGGATGTCTTCGATATGAACGCCAGTCGAGCCACAATGGAAAAGGGCACGAAGCCCTGGTATGTCGGTTGGTAAGTAATTTAGAAAAGTAGCAATTAATCCTTGGATGAATAAAAAAGATCTCTCAGACCTTGCAATATTCTTTGTTTATAATATTCATAATGAATTTTCAGATTTTCAAATCTTCCAAATTATTTCTTTTTAAACAATTTGTAAAAAAAATTTCAATGCAAAATAATTAAGATTATTTTTTTGCTATTTAAATTTTTGCAAATTTTTATTAGTGCAATATAAATCCAAGTATTAACTCTAAATATGTTCGCTTGATTCTAATTTCTGGGGCATATCGGATGAAATTAATACCAATGTGTGATAAAATATTAAAATAATATCGATAATAAATTAAGATAAAATATCAATAAAATATACTTCTTGAAGCTAGTGATTAGAAAATAATAAATAAAAATTTAAAAGTTATGTGAAGAGAGAGAAGACACGATAATAAATCTTTTTTAATTATTAATGAATTAATGAGAAATTATTAATAATGAATTATTATGAATAAATAAATATATCCATAATTTTTTAAAATAATTTTATAATAATTACTAAATTCATTGTCAAAAAATTATTGCATTTGCAACAATATAAAAAAAATTGCAGAGAAAATAAAAATAAATTAGAAGAGAGAGAAGATACAATAACAAATCTTTTTTAATTAGTAACAAATTAATAAGGAATTATTAACCATCTATTTATGAATAAATAAATATATTCATCATTTTTGAAACAATTTTATAATAATTACTAATTTCATTGTCAAAAAATTATTGCATTTGCAAAAATATAAAAAAAGATTGCAGAGAAAATAAATGAATAAATGTAAAATATAAACTCACTCATCGAATCATTCATTCATCGATGCATCGTCATTGCTGCATTCCTCTGTAGAACGGTCTGCAAGCATAATTATTGAAAATATAAAATATCAATTTAAAATAGCTGAACAATTAATGGGAGCAAGGTTGAAATAAATAACATTTTATTCGAATGACATACACACATCCATAATATATATTTTTTTTTCCATTATTTGATTCACGGTGAACGCGAGAATATTTTGTTATGACAAGCAACAATATATCAATCACATCATCGTAAATAAATCAAACGAACAATTTTCGTCGCACAAATATATAATAAATAATATTCACCATCAGTTGCGATGACGCATCGTAGTTGCCTTTTTTTCACTCTGACCGTTGCTGACCATCTTTTGAGACGAATGTTTCACTATCACAATCCTCGCCCGTTAACATTTTCGGCCCGGATATTTATCGCACTTACGTGATGCGTTTTAGATAAATAATAACGCGAAACGATATCTTGTCGCATTTTTCGCGGCACTATCGACATATATTTTTGCACCCGCGACGCACTTTTGCCATTTTTCGATTTATAATAAACGAAAAATCTAAATCGCGCGACTTCACATCGCTACTTTACCGCGGAACGTAAGACAAATACACTGATTTTCGATCGAGACTCTCTGAATTTGGATAAATAATGTTTGATGTCAAACGACGCGATATACGATGTTTACGGATATATTGATGAAGCAAATGAGATATATTACAATCGACGTACGCGACTGCCCCGCTAAATACGACACAGACACACACACACACGACACTAGTTTGTTCGTGACGACGCGATGTCGAGAGGGGACAGGCGACCGATCTTGGCCGAACCGCCGTGAAGGACGGAGAAAGACTAGAAAGAGTATGACAGCGCGCGACGCGAGCGCGAGTGAAAACAAAAACAAGCACGGCTCCCGGCCTGACATTCCGGGAATCGAGATAAGAAATTTGTAGGATATCGCGCGGAGTAAGAAAAAAACTCTCTTCTGAAAGAAATATAGCCTCGCGTATATTTTAATATAATTTTCTATACTATTAGTATTTAAAAATCTAAAATTATGTATTATTAATGTATTAATTAAACTTACGAAAATTATTATTACCGTACGTTTGACACACTGCTTGAAACTATGATCGCACAAAGTTTATTTGTAGTAACTATCACATGTTGGCATTATTGATGCGATATATATACACATTTTATATATATATATAATATTTATTCTCGATAATTTTACTAAACGCGCGTTTAATATTATAATATGATTGCGCAGAATTTCTCTGAGAAAACTTTTTGACAGAATATGTATATATAATAAAAAGCAAAATACCCTAGAGTTTTTCCGCCACTTTTGTGATATACACAGATAATATTTATTCTTAATTCTTACCTAACTTAAACTCCGATGTGACGAGACGAGCGATTCTCTTTTCATAATATTGAATCGTAACATATATAAATACAATTAACAATCGCGAAATATTAATTATAGCGATGGACAATGCTCGATCTCGCGATTATATTTGGACGAAAATTCCATCGCATTGTCATGAATAATTGGGCGAAATACATTATAAACGAACGCGAGGACAACTTCACGTCTACTTCCGTTCGAGGCATTCGTGATCTGATTCCGACATTCCGAGTTTGTACTATAGGAATTAAATATAATTGTCATTCATTAATACCAACTGTCAATTGTAGCGCGTAAAATATCCGAATCCCTTTTTATTTAAACGCGAGTAATTTTTATTATTAATTAACCACCACGTAGCAATATTTATTAAACAATTGTTTTTATCGCTTTTAATAGTGTTATAGATCGTGTGTATTAAAGTGTATTCGCGTATAAAAATTGCGAGAAAGAGTTCGGAATAAACGTCGCGATAGTCGATATGATTCTGAACGAGGGGAGGGGGCATTCTCGAGCCCGACCGGTTTGTTTACAATTTTACAATGTTTACGGTAGCGCGGATAACAACTGCTAGGATCCATCTACAGATACAAGATCGCACGAGGTAAAATATTACATTTATTAAATACGATACGCATATGTATATCGTATATAAAAGTGACATTACGTATATCAAAGAACAAAGAACGCGAATAATTATCATCACTATTTATTGACAACCACGTGTTGCAATATTCGTTAAATAATTGGATTTATTACTCTTGATAGTGTTATAAATCGTGCGTTATAGTAATTATTATATATATTATTATATATATACAGGGTGCCCCCAATTTAAATGTCAAAACTTTAGGAGCGCGTAGGGGACCGATAATATTATTATATATATTATTAATCATATTTCATTATACCTATATTCCATGTGTCTACATATGATGTATATATCATTATATTATATTATTGACTTTTTGAGTAATTTTTTTCTTGTTGGACAAGAAAAGCATCTGACTTTCTCTTTTACTAACTGCTATTTTCTTATCCCCAATGAAAGCGCGCGCTTATCTATATAAGTCTATAGTACGTCATATACTATAGACTTATATAGATAAGTACGCATATGTCACGTTTATATTCTCCCGATATTACATATGTTCGTTAATGTCACGTTTAATAGTGATATGTACGCTCGATTCATGTATTGCAGTTGGCATAAATGACATGGTGACAGCCATTTTTAATTCGTATGTATAGTACAAAATCTCTTGCAAAATCGGACTAACCACTGCTCTACCGGAACGGAACAGAACTTGAAATATTTAACGGTCTTCCCGCGCGCGATTATTTGTGGCGTCGAAATGCTTGTGGTGTAGATATAATCGATGCAAACGAGTATCGTGAGTATTGAAAAAACGGAATCAATTTATCGCTATAATTACCGTTATAATCGCTACAGTTGTAATTATATCACGCGATACGATCTTAATTTTTATATCGATTGTCTCGTCACATCTAAATTACGATGTTAGGTTAAATGCTCGTATCTGCAAGTAAACGTGTAGTGTCGAGGAAAGTATCGGGGTAATAATTTTATTATGTATAAGTGCAATATATCACATCGATAGCGCGAAGTTGTGACGATTTCATCAAGGTAAGCTCTGCGCAATCGTAGCTCTCCTCCCAGGTAATATATTAGAATAAGTATTAATAATATAATCGAGAAATCAAATTATTGAGAATAAATATCGCTTGCAAATACACGTGTAACATCGGAGATACCGAGAAAAATATATCAATCATAATATTGCGTGTATATAAAATATATCACATCAATAATGACAGTGTCAAGTGGACTCTGCGCGATTGTAAAAAAAATTCCAAGCATTATTAAAGTAAGTATTAATAAAATTATCGAGCAGGTAAGCGCACGTATAAATAATTTTTTAAAATAATTTTACCCTTAATTACCTTTTCTTTTATTTGAGATATCCATCAAAATATAAAAAATAAAAGAGAAAAAATTATTGCACTAATATGAATCGAATATTCATTTTTTTTTTCATGTAAATAAAAAAATCAAATTCAAATTCTGGAGCCTGAAAAATCCTATATATTTTTTTAGCGAGAATATAATGTACACTCCGATATTTTTTTAAATCATCAATACACACGTACAATTCCGTTCAACAATTAAGCTTACGCAGAAAAAAGCTAGATTTATAACAACATACACGATAATCGCGAAACTCTGTCCATATAGAATTTTCGATGAAAAATGTATCGATAATCTGATCAATTTGATGTTAGACAAATTCGATTGTTTTCTTTGGATGAAAGAGTAAAAAAGATTTTTAGTTTTTCGTGATTACCTGCTTCTTCTTTTCCCTCAGGAGCAACTGCGATGAAAAAATTGGCGCAATATTGCGTCAGCATTATCAAAGACCGTATTTTCTCCCAGTCACCGCCGAAAGTGAAAAGACGGACTGGATTTTTATGGGGAGCCATGGCTACGGTGCACCGATACATGTAAGTCTGTAATAAAAAAATGACAATTATTAGAAAGCTTTTCTCATAAAATAGCTCGTTAAAAAAAATTGGTTAACGAAAAAGACACGTTGTTCTGTTATAAAGTTTTTTTAATGAGTTATTTATATATAGATATTCAATAAAAAAAGATTATTATTATCTCATAAATTTCCTATTATATAAAATAATTTCAACGCATACATATATTATTCAATCAGGTATTTGCATATTAATTTAATTTTTTTTTCGCAAAAACTATCTTTTTTTAAATATATTTATATATTTATATTTATATATGTAAATGTGTATTTTATGTTAAATGTGAAATATAAAATTTTTTAAGGTGGATGATGTAGAGTATCCCTCCTGGCAGGCACAGATAAAAGGTGAAAAACTGTGGATTTTGGAACCGCCGAGAGAATGTCACTATACTTGCAAGAGACTGGAAGTGATAGTGCATCCAGGGGAAATAAGTAAGCCATTTGATAAACGCTAATATAAATAATGACCGAATTAATTCCGCAGAATTAATTGTCAAATGCAGCCTTTTTATTAAAAATCACATTCAATTTCGTTGTGCATTGAAAATCAATCATTTAATGCTAACAATAAATAAAAATAAAGGACATGTACGTTATCCGTATCTTTGTTACTAGATTAATATAAAAGATTTCTGTTTAAGTCCTAATAAAAAAAGTTCTGATTTAATCTTATTTAAAAAAGGATTTATAAAACTTTTTTTGGGGAAAAGTAAAAATTAAAGACAATACATTTTGTGATTATATACTAAAAATTTAATTAAATTATCTTTTATTTCATTTTCTATATATTTCATTTTCAATCTTTTGCATCAATACATCGTACTTTTTAATTGCAGTTGTTTTGGATACGAATCGATGGTACCACCAGACGAAAATCGTTTCCAAAGATATGAGCATTACTATTGGTGCTGAATATGATTAATTATATAATCTATTCATCGTAACGGTGCGACAATTAACAAGTATAGCTTGATAAGAAAAAAAATATAATAAATATAATAACTCTCCTATGCAAATGTACAAAAAATAATAATGCGCAATATTTAAAAAATACTTTAAGGTGAATAAATTCTTGCGCAAAAACATGAATATATACGGAATAATATAATATGGAGTGTAATAAAATATATTATGGAGAAAAAGATTATTGTAATATCTGAAAAATCATCATAATTAAAAAAAAATTAAGGCAAACTATTAAATTTATTGTACAATTAAAAAAAAAGCGCGATTATTTTGAGCGATCTATACTTGATACAATCAGTTTTTTTTTTCTATTAATAATTTTATATATAATTTTATA